ACACGCGGAATTGCGCGAGAAAATTCGATCTAACGAATTTTTTTTTTTTGATGCATTATTTATGATCGCCAGTGTAGGTCAGCCCCTAGTGAACAAGAATATTTAAAGAATGAAGTTCAGAAAATGCTGCAAGAAGGGTTGATAAGGGAATCTCATAGCCCTTGGACTTCCCCATTGTGCTGGTTCCTAAGATAAATGGCAAACTTCGGATTTGTATTGACTATAGGAAGCTAAACGCCGTCACCAAGAAAGATGCATATCCAATTCCTCATATAGACGACATACTAGAGACTTTTGGTAAAGCTTCATAGTTTTCTAGCTTAGACCTAGCCAGTGGCTACTGGCAGGTCTCCATAGCTGAACAAGACCGAGAAAAATGGCTTTTGTCACTAAATTCAGGACTTTTGAATTTAATATGATACCTTTCAGCCTTTGCAATTCCCTGACAACTTTTCAACGGCTCATGGATAACGTGTTGAAAGAATATATAGGACATTTCGTAACTGTATATCTAGACGATATTCCAACACCTTCTACAAACACTTAGAGCATCTAGAGAAGGTCTTCGTTAAACTTCAAGGGGCCTAGTTGAAGTTAAATAGTAACAAATGTCACTTGCTAAAGAAATCCTTACAGCTCCTCAGTCACCTTATTGATAAAAAAGGAGTACAGCCCGATGACAATAAAATAATTAAGGTTCGAGAATTCCTGGTCCCTAGAACACTTTGTCAGTTAAGAGAGTTTTTAGGATTATTCTCCTATTACAGGCGTTTTATCAAAGGTTTCACTTCTATTGCAAAACCTTTGCACTAATTGCTGAATAAAGAAAGTCCTTATATATGGAATAAGCCCCAACAACAAGCTTTCGACACTCTTAAGAAACATTTAACTTTGCCCCTATCTTAAGATATCCCAATTTTGATCAAACCTTCTATTTGCATATAGATGCCTCTGGAGTAGGTTTATGGGCAGTGATAACTCAAAAAAATAAGAAAGGTCGGGAGCACATGATTGCCTACGCAAGTCGAAGCCTTAATCGGGCAGAGCGTAATTATTCTACTACAGAACTAGAATGTCTAGCTGTAGTGTGGGGTATAGAGTATTTCCATCACTACTTAGACATTAAGCCTTTTATAGTAGTAACAGACCATTCGGCCCTCAAGTGGTTGAAAACTTCTAAACTAAAAGGCAAAAGGGCCAGATAGATCCTGTGGCTCCAACCTTATAATTTCAAAATTGAACATAGAAGTAGTAGAGCTCATTCTAATGTTGATGCTCTGTCTCGTCTTCTGGAATCAGTAAATAGTGATCCATAGAAATTTTTAGGGTAAGGGTTGATTATTATGATGATGAAACATCAGTTAAGGAGAAATGGTCTACTAATAAAGACCCTAATGATGCTGATGTATCAATTGTAATAGATGTCATACCCAATGAAGAAAGTAGAATAGAAGTGGGAAATATGTGGGCCAGTGAAGAAGATGTAGTTGAATATTCTAGAAGAGAAAAGGGAGTATGAGGAGTTACTAATTAATTTTAAGGTTGAGTTAGGTCAAGGTTTAAATTGGTATGATTATAGAGATTTTTGAAGTGATTGGTGGGAGAGTGGAAATAGTCAGGCATCGTTCTCATTGGATAAGGTATATATAGTAGATGACTTTAGTCCTCTTAAGAGAGAAGAAAAGTTCTTGATATCTATATCAAGAATGGATTAGGAAATAGAACCTACGAGGCCCTTCACCTCTGAGGAGTTCATAGAAGATACAAAAGAGGAAAGTGACTTAAGTGATGAATCAGATGATGAGTCATATGATTCTGGCCCATCCAAAACTTTTATCTAGGGTCTAGAGAAGCATGGTAGAATATAGATAAAGAAGAAGAAACCCAGGAAGAAGTATTATTAAACTAGGCCTCTACAAGCTTAGATTTCTCGGCTATGAAAGTTGAAGCAGAAAAGCCCAATATTGATCAGAAAATTACAGAGCATGAAGAAAAATTAATGAATAAATTTGTTCAATGGCCTGAGGACGAAGAAATGGAGACTCCTGAATCTAATAATATCAACCATGGTGTTGAAGGAATTGGTGTTAAAAAAGATAAATGGCTGATGAACACAAATGGGCCCGCATACATTCTAGTGGTCCTCTATAATAAAATAACCCCAAGATGACGGCAGAAGTTGGTCTACTGTGGTCAAATTTCTCATTATGGAATAAAATTTAGTTTGTATGACTACCCAACTCTGAATGATCATATTGCTACCCAGGAACTTAATTTAAAGGAAGCGGTATATTGGGCCAACTTTTGTGGCTATTCTCTAATTGCCAATGATCTCGCTGATTTGATTACGCTAAATAACCAAATGCAGGACATAGTATGGCAGAATGAAGCTAGGCAACGATTCATCCAATACACCAAAATTGATCCAGGATGTAACTCTAGGATCATTGACGATAATGATGTCTTAATATTACCTGTAGATGTAGAATTAGATTAGCTTAGCAATAATAGATGAAATAACAAAAAAAAAAAAAAAAAAAGAGAGATAAAAAAAAAAAAAAAAAAACATATATATTATTAGAAACATACTTGGGAATTTTATAGCGTAGTATAGTTCTGATAATGACATTATAGTTAGCTCATGAAGTGAATAATTGAGATCGCAGACCTAATATTGAAAATGGATGGTTAGGATAGAGTAGGGCGAGTTGGGGCCCTATTCATTTGAGAGAAAATCGATAAAAGCTTAATCCATGAAAGGATCAATTGCTAATTAGAGTAGAAAGAGTTCAATAGGAACTAGGCTCGGGAAGCCAAAGTGGGATTATACTGTATAGTTCTAAAAATAAGCACTACCGAAAATAAGCACCCCTATAATTTTTTTATATCTGAAAATAAGCACTCCTTATAATAGTTATCAGATTAGAAACTGGTTAAAAACCAGTTTTCTTGTTTATTTTATATCTGAAAATAAGCACCCCTATAACAAAAAAGGGGTGCTTATTTTTGGAACTATACGGTAATTTAAAATAGCCCATACTGGAATAAATTGATGAGAATTTAATTCTTGACTTGTGTGTAGATAAATGCTAACATTAAGAAGCATTTATCTGCCATTAAAAATCTTATGAGAAAATGTATAGTGAATGACTCTAAGTATTGGTTAAATGAAAATAATGGCGCCACTGAGACAAATCAACGAGTTCTAAGAGTTAGGGACGGCAATAATTAAGGATATGTCCACACTATTAGAGAATAGTGTCATAGCGTAACCAAATCTCTTAAGGACATTAAAGAACCTGAATATTGCAAAGAAGTGAAAGAAAACTCCTATAGTATAAATAAACTATAGGAAGAATCCCTTTAGGTAAACTATCCGAAGTTGTAAATCTGATGATTAAGAAAATTCAGTTCAGGTAGTCAGTGTTCTGGCAAAGGGTAGAATATTATGAACTCCGAAAAGTATTACCTGCAAGATTAACATATCGACCCCAAGTTGTCTAGAAAGAAAAAGAAAAGATTTCTAAACAATAGCCAGATGTTTTCTTTAAAGAATGAAATAATGTTTAAAAACAATAGCAGAAACTCTGACAAGCCATTGAGGGTTATATGAGCCTATGAAATAGAACCAATATTATTTTTAGTCCATGACCACCTGTTGGGAGGACATTTAGGGATAGAAACTATGTTTAAAAAAATCAGACAACTATATTATTGGCCACAATCATATAAATGAATTAGGAAGTATGTTAAGTCTTGTGATCAATGTCAATGGCGAATAAAACCCCAATTGGTCACCCCCTTATACCCCATACCGGTCGTAGCTTCTTTTCATTGAGTTGGGATAGATATTGTGGGTCCGTTACTAATAACCCTGGGCAAATAGGTATATAGTGGTAGCCACAGACTATATGACTAAGTGGCTGGAAGCTAAGGCTATTAAGTCAGCCAATGCCCAGGAGGTGGCTGATTTCTTGTATAATGATTTTGTCTGTCATCACGGGTGCCCTGAAATAATTTTATCAGATCATGAAACCTACTTCAAGAATAAGATAATTAAAAAGTTGTTAGAAAAATTCCAAACTAGGCATGTGCTATTAACACTATACCACCCTCAAACTAATAGATTGGTAGAGAGATTTAATCGTACTCTATGTGAATCAATAGCTAAGACTATTGAAAAAAATGAGAAATAGGATTTTGTTATACCCTCTATATTGTTTGCCTATCAAACTTCTCGGCATTCTACTATGAGGATCACACCATTCTATTTAATGTATGAATGTGAAGCTAGACAGCCCATTCAGCCAAAGGAGTATGAAGAATTAAGCAGGAAAAATATTGTCTAAAGAGTCCAAGTTTGTAGAAAATTTGCTATTGATTCATCAAGCCACAATCATACGAGTTCAAAGGGTACAGTCTAGACAGAAACAGCTTCACGATAGAAAAATTCAAAAAATTACTGAATTTAGAATAGGGGATAAGGTACTGTTATACTGTGCCTCTTAACAATATAACTATAGCGTCAAATTAGAACCAAAATAGACAGGACCCTACTACATCCATCAGGTTTTTGACTGGAATGTAGTAAAGCTACGTACCCTAGAAGGGCAGGTTATTGCAACCCCTATTGGTATTAGGCTGCTAAGGAAATATAATAATCGATGGATCGATTCTATAAGAAGAAGGTTATTAAATTAGGGTGGAATTAGTGTCAGAGTGAGAAGAGAACAAATGATGTTTTCGTCTGAAAGATGAGAACTAAGGTTCTTTTAATTAAAAAAAAAAAAGGATATATATATATAGGGTGTATTGTGACCAGTGTTTAAAATTTGATGTTCTCAGTGTTCTCAGAGAACATTTAACAATTTTTATGAACATGAATTACTGGAAAATGTTCTCTATTTGAGAACATTTAACAAAATTTTTTAATATTAAAAAATTTTTGATTTTCTAATACTGAGAATATTAAAAAACTTTTGAGAACATTAAAATTTTAAAAAATGTTTTTTTGAGAACATAAAATCAATTCTGAATTTTAAACACTGATTGTGACTACAAAAAGAAATAGATTACCATTCCTTAAAAATTTGTATTATTAGGAAATGCCTACTCTTACGGTACCTGAGATTATTACCGATATTACTGCTTTCAATCCATTGATGTAACAGTTACACTGCCCCTTTTATTGAATTAACAGACTTGGTGGCCTGTGTTCAACAATTATATAACTTAATAACCGAGGCTATACATTTTAAAAATCGAATTGAGATGTTAGTTCATGCCTATTACCTTGGTATGATTTTTGCTACCTCAACAAATGATCAACAGAGATATTTAAGGCCATGTTATGCTGTATTATCATCTTGCCACTATAAAAGTATACGATATCTTTTCGAAAATTGGTATTGAACAGATTTATCATACCAATTATGTAAAACTACAAGATTTTCGGGAAATGTCCGTGGCTCAAGCAAATCAGGTTGTTAATAGATGCTCATAGTACTCGCATTAAAGTTGAGAAGAATAATTGTAGCCTGGAAAATTCGATCTTTGGTAATTTTAATTTTGGTCGCAGTTAATCGCACATGTATAAGCTGTAGCATATTTTGTTGATCAATTACCAAATAGAGTTTCCCAGCGATTAATCGCTGTTAACGTGTATTATGTATTTCTTAAAGATAATGCATCAATGATGAATACGAATGTTTAATCAATAGGAACATAAAGAACAATTAGGATGGATTAGTAGTTTTTCTTTATTATCTAGTATAACCAGAATAGGGCTGATAGTAATTACTTGAAGAATACGAAGCATGGCTTTGATTCTTCGTAAGTATATTACGTTTATTGTATTAAAATTTAACTATAAATAAAGGGCATTTTTGCCCAGCAAAAGAAGGCATCGTTCACTCGATACAAAATAAGTTTTCATTACATTTAAAATTGATACAAGTGTAAACTCACTAAGTCCCTAACCCGATCCTATTATTAAAGATCTTCATTGATTGTTTCTTTACTATAAACTATACTGTTACGCTGCCTGATTTTACCTTTGGGTAAATTCATTTCTTCATTGGTCTAACTTACTCTATTGGTGCTAAAACTGTTGTATTATATCTTTAAGAGTAAAGGATATCTGATTTTCTTGCGTGTTGGTTCCGGAAGAATAGTTATTGATTCAACGTCAACTATTACGTAATATTGTTCAAAGGATGACTGAAACCTTAGAACCATTCCACCACCCAAATCTAAACACCTCTTCTGAAAGGTTGTCTTTATGTGTTTGTTAGAGATTCTATTTAGTTAGTTTTAGATTAGTTTAGCCAGTTACTTTAACCCCAATAATCGGGCCAACATCATTTAAACTTGCTAATTCAGAATATATATTATCAACTAGTTGCCTTTTATTATTTCTTTCAGAACTATCAAATTCTTTTTGTTGAACAAGAATTATCAATTTAATTATTTTATTTTGTTGATTTCAAGTTGTATTTTTACTTCTTCTTCAAAGTTTTTTAATAGTTGATCTTGATCATCAAATCATTTTTGGTGTTCTACGTATTGTGATTTTACAAGATCTTTTAGAGATTGTATTTTAGTACAGTATATATTTAAACATTGGTTATTTTTGATATTATAATTGAAAAATTTTGTTTGTATTTTTTAAATTTATAGGTAATATATAAAAATCATGTAAGAGAAAGAGTTACAAGCAGAAGATTAATAATATCTATTTATTTATTTTTTAATTAAATAAACAATTACATATTTATTATAAATTTATATTAGATTTAATATTCGATTTAAATTTTTTAATATACAATATATATTGTTTTGCTAAAAAAAAATAGACTCACTTAGTATTATACCAAAATCAGTTATGTAAACAGAACTTAAATTTATTGCTGATATTAAAATTAATAGTTTATAGAATAATGATGGCATTTGATTAATAACATATATAAGAATAATAATAAAAAATTTTACAATGAAAATTTTTAATTCTTAGAATTAAAAGCCTGAAGTTTTATTTTTCTTAATAGTATTTATATAAAATTAATAATATTAAATTA